ACTGTGGAACCGGTGGGCGGTTATAAAATTTTACTACTAACAGAGATACAAAAGTGGGCGGTAGGTATAAAAAGGTTGACTAGCCCTGGTCTAGGTGATTGGTCTAAAGGTTAAAGCACCAGGCCAGAAAGTGGCAGACCGTGATTTCCTTGAGTACGGGTTCCCCATAGGTCTTTGTCTTGAATCCGTCAGAGTTCACCTTGATGGTCCATGACTGCTGTGCCAAGTCTGTGATGAATCATATTGTTAAATATGTGAATGACACAGAAAGAAAGAAAGAAATTTGGTAAATCAGCCTCAGATACAGATTAAAGCACCTAAACTAGATTTGCATATTGTGCTAAGGTATCTTTTTCAAATCATGGTGTGTTGAATGAGTTACTAAATTTACAGATTATGCTAAACTTTGAAGTAATTTGCTTGCATTTCACTCAGGCAACCTAAGATGCTTATGCTACCTTAGTAATTCATTTTTGCATTATCTTTATTGGACCTGGCTCTTCTGTTTCAAGTACATTTGTATTGTTGGGGCAAATGTACACATAGACGTAGGAAATATTAGCACTGAAATCAGGATGCATTGCATCAAATACAGAAGGTGTGCCATATTAAAACTTAGTATATAAAATAACTACAGATAGCACAAACAAAAATCCTTGACAAACATCCTGGTATTGACAAATTGTAATGTGGTGAATCAGCTTAAAATATGATAGGCTATATCCTGTTTATAGCACATAAATTTTTGATCTCTAATCTTTTCCCACATGGGAGGGAACCACTTTCAGTTACATTTTGTGAAGATAGTTTTATATAAACAACAAACACTTATTGTAATCTCCGTTCACAAACCTTGTGATCAGTTCTTGCCCTTTCCTTTTTAAACTTTTGAAAAAACTAGTTGTTCTAAATGTACCAAGAATATTTTTTCATAGCATGCTTTTGCAAATGTAGCTCTGCTGAGAACTTACTGCAAATCCATTATTTCTTTAGAGCAACATTTCTCAACCTAAGACACTTTAAGATGTGCAATTCCCAGAGCAAGTTCCCTTTGTTAGAGAATGGTACATTATCATATTTTAAATCCTACTGTAGGTTACTTTGTTTAAGTATAAATGTACTTCTTTTTCAGAGCATGATTCTCTAATAAAGAAAGATGGTGCGTAGAATTTCATATCATGTGAACAAACTTTTATTCATGCAGTTCATCTTTCATTTTCATTTTCTCATCCCAGAGTATTTTGCCCCCCAAATAGTGCCCTGAAGAAGATTTGAGGGCAATGAAAGTAAATGTAGGCAGAAGAAATAGCTCTTTCTCCCTGTGCCCTGTTGCTGAAGCCGTTCTGTTGACAGAAGGCACTAAGGGAATATAACCTATTAAAACACCATTTATATATTAGATGTATATTTCCTTCCCATTCAGGAGACTGAAATTGTGAAATGCGGGTGTTTTTAAATTCTGTTTGCTGGACTAAGCTTTCTTTTTAGTATGTCACAAAAAGTTCCTTTTGAGTGCACTGGATATGCTGACTCAAAGGAATAGGGATCTCAGCTTACTTGGGTATTTCCTTCCTGGGGCTAGGGGTAGTTGGAGAGGAGGGAATGAGTTTAATTGGACAGAAGAGGAAGAAAGGAGAAGAATGTGCTTTTCATGAGGGGTAATCCTGAAACTATTTCTCCACTGACAGTTTTTAGAATCTCAATTGCAGTTAACTGCCTTGGCTTCTTTATTTTTTAGAAGCTCTGGTTTCTTTTTAAAATGTTGCAGCTATAAGTCATGAGAGGGAAATTAACTAAAAGTATGAAAATGAAAGTTTTAGGTAGTACATTGCTATTAATGAACACCATTTTCAAAATGAGTATTTAAAGTAATTTTCCACTTCACCAAAATAGTTGAATGACTCAGCCTTTCTTTTTTTATGGGAGATAAATATAATTGTTGAATGTTTAGAGAGATAAATGAATGGAAACAAGTATATAACTCAGGGGGGAAAATGAAACATGACTGGAAAACCTGGAATTTCCTTTCCTTTTTATTTGTTTTGATTCAACCTGAGCCAAACACCTGCCCACTGTAATCCCAAAGGAAGACAATAATTGCTCATAAGGCAGCTGTAATCCCCATACCCACAATTCCTAAAGAATTCACAGGAATAAAATTATGATGTTATTATCATATTGTATTTCTTTCTCCACCAGGTATGCTTTTAGCGGACAAGAAACAGACCTGGCTGTAAATTACAGAGTCAAAAAATCTTATGGCCGCAGAACTGTGGAACTGACATGTAAGTTTTAGATAGATGTTACAATCCTTTATGTGAAGGGAGACCATTTATAAAATAGAGCATATAAGATGAGAGGAGAATTATGCATAAACACATATTCACACACACACACACACACACAAAGAGAATAAGCTCAGGGATGAACTGTGAAATCCTTGGTGCTTTTTGAACTTGGTTATTTGCTCACCTATTAATAGACATATGAAGATAAACCACATTTACTGATCATTTAAAAGAGGCAATTAAAAGAGCTAAGAAGGAAACCAAAAGACTCATCCCCTCCAGCAGCCTACTTCTAGAGAAGCAGAGATTAATCAAGAAACTATAAAGGAGAAAACCACACCTCTACCAACATTGGCAGGCCAAGCTAGGGTATATAAACAGGGAGCAAACCGCACACTCACTAGCATTGATAATGTTACCTAGTACTGTATGTGTAACTGCCACTTGTGCAATTCAGCCATTTGCAGTACACTATATAAATCCTGTCTGGGTTTGTACTTCATGCTAAACTATATAGTTAGTCATTAAATAAACCACAATTAGATGTATTGATAGGACTATAAATACTTGACTATGAAAGCTTGCGGCTAGCCAAGATATTACAGCATTTCAGAATGTTTTACTTGAAACATTTCAGCCTATAATTCTAGAACTTGCAGTTTTCAATTCCTATGATCTGTTATGGAAGTCAGTTACATTTCTTTCCTGGAGCATCCTGAAGGTGATTGCACTCCGTACACAGAGACAGCCATTTTTAATCTATTTATCTATAAGATATTTGAAGTTCACATCTGAAAATTTTGAGCACCACTATCTCGGTAGATATATTCCAGGAGTTAAAGTCACATACTTGAAGGGTGACCAAGTTGGAGAAGGCTGCTTTTAAGTTCTCCCTTGATATGGGAGAGGAGAGTTGGTGTCACACAGTAGGACCAAATAATATACATTGACTGATATACATTGACTGATCTATTTTCTAAATATGGGGAAATTCAGATCATTCATTCTGTCCCTCTTGGATCAGGCAATTTCTATGACATTTGTATGGACTCATGTCCCTAACTCATACTGTTATGCATGCTATATAATTATAGATATCAAAATTCCTTGTCCCTGGAATGGAATGTTCTAAGAAACACTAGAACATTCAATATCTTTTCTGGATCCACTTTTTCTGGAGATGTTCCAACAATTTTCTAGAAGTAAATATTCTGGGGAATAGGCAATTGTTCATGGTGTTCCATTGGTGGTCTTCTCCTGCAAAATCAATCATAGCTAGAGAGACTGTAATTATTCATACTGCAGGTGGAGAAAATCTCTTATTTGAATACATTGTCCCAGGAAAATTTACTATACATAATGCATTGGAAAGAATCTTCCTTAATAACCAGGCTCTCTGTAAGAAGAAAAGCTTCCTATCTCCTAAGGATGAAATATTTAATTCATAGCAACCCTAAGTAATATAAAGAAAACTTATCTAGTACTGGAAACATTTGTAGCCATATGTTGAATAGCTCTAAATCAGGGTGTCAAACTCAAGGCCTGCGGGCCACATCCGCCCACAGAGGGCTTACTTCTGGCCCATAGGACCACCCTGGAAACAGCGAAGTATTGGCCCACAGTGCCTCTGCCAATGGAAACAGAGCTCAGGCCACCACAAGCACCCCCAACATGAGTGATGTCGAGCTGGCCATGTCCACCCTAGCCATGCCCATTCGACTCCCTAAGGTCAAACACAACTCTGATGTGGTTTTCAATGAAATCAAGCTTTGAATCTAAATCATAAAATAGCAGTTTTCTACTGCAGGATTTAATGATGTCTTCCCGTATCAAGTATGCAATCAGGAAACACATATAGTAAACATATATATCTCATATCTCATTTGTACATTACGTTCCCAGTGGGTAACCTAGGAGTAAGTGAAGAACTTCAGGAAAAACTCCACGATGTTATGATTGTCCGAAACAACTTGACCCTAGGAAAAATCTTGGGAGAAGGTGAGTACCATCCATCTATGCAGTTGTCATAACTATCAAGCAAGACATCTTTCCTCAGCCTGCATAAACTGAATCAAGTTTATGGTAAAAGCATTTCATTTGCATACCAGCTCCCTTAGAGAATTACCAATCAGATATGTTCCAAAGAACAGCTTATATTAAACAAAATAAGCAGGAGTCTTGTAAATTAAAAAATATTTTATTGTATCACTTAGTTTGTTAATTTATTATAGTCATGGGCCAGAGCAACTTATATATAAAATAATAATAAAACCGATACTTCAAAATTGAAATATTACTAAAAATAGCAAAATGCAGAAACTTTTCTTAACTTCAAACACTATTCATACTTTCCCCAAAACAGTTGTTTATGTTCCAGTGTAGTCAAGATTCAGAATCTAACTAGACTTTCTGAGATCTTCACTACATGATCAGCTGATGGATATATCAGTCCCACTCAAATATTTCTATAAAAGAAGCAGTACATGACCTACAGTTTGAATTTCCTTATTGCTATAGAAATGCTGTTGTTTGCAAAACCTCCCTGCCAAATAAGCATTGGCAAGAGAATTAGAGCAGGCCAATAAAACATCTCTTCTGGTATCTTTGAAGACTATATTAAATAAATATTAGCCAAGTGCAGTGCTTTTTCCTGGTCTGAATGGAAGGAAGTAAAATGGGCACAGGTTGAAATTATGTTGGAGGTCAGTATCTCTAGTATGCTGACATGGTCTGATCAAAGTCCAATGCATTAGACCAAAATCCACAATTCCCTAGGTTGGCATTAAGTGATTTCCACCAAGCAAAAAAAAAAATCTTTAAGTGATCAAAACAACCCGACTAATTGAGAATTAATTTAAGGTAAGAGCTAATACAGTACATACTTTTTGCAGAGTTTCAATTGATACTATTTCAGTCACAGGGCAAAAGGATGAATTTGGAAGTCATTGAGAAACCAAAAAGATGTCATAAAAAAAAAACTATTTCAAAGGTTTCTAATGCCTACATATAAAATAGCTATAAGGTAGCTGTGGTATTACGCTGGCTTCAAACACTTTTAGCCCACTTTGTTATATAATTACTTCCTTTTGTACAGACAAATTTTAAGATGCCAACTAGACTTCTTTTCACCATCTCTTTTAATGATTAAATCTGAGCCTTCTAAGTGCCTGTAGTTTGGAAAACAATTCTGAGAAATGTAAAAATCTGAACCTGTTGAGTAACATTCTTTCTGCTGTTGCCATCTTTGTTTATATCAAAGGGGTCTCTTTGAAAGTATCCTAATTTCCATTTTGATAGTCAAAACTTAGGTTATTTTCCATGCTAGATGGGGTAGCTGATCTAAATCCTATCTGCTATATATAATGTTGAGATAATGGCTGCGCCATCTTCATAAAAAAGTAAAGCAATTGCTCTTTACTTTATATGAAAGTGATGTCAAATGAGGATTATATAACTTTTAAAATGTTGTAAACATAGTCTGTTAAGATTCCAGTTCAAGATTTCTTTCAAGTATAGTACTTTGTTAACTCTCACATGACTCTTTGTAACGTATATTGTGCAAAGTATTGTACAGTAATAATATTTCATTTCTAGGTAATAAATATTTAAATGTCATTAACCCAGTCACTCTGATAGTTTAGACTCTTAGCTGAAGACAAATTTCTAATTTCTATCAGACTCATCCTTCTATCCATACCCCTCTCCAAATTCTTTTTACCTAAATTCTAGTGATCTGCAATATCTAGTAGTAATGTCAATAATACAAGTGAAGATATCTGTCACACTGGATTGACCCTTTAACAGTTTCCAATGCATGCCCAGATTTGCAGTTTAACTTTAATACTATTAAAGTATTCACTAAATTCTCAAAATGTCATAATTGTAGCCCTTTGTACTGGCTATTCTGTGAACCTTTTTTTTTCCAGGAGAAAGTTCTCTTGTTCTGTTCCAACCACGTTTTTTATAAAACTTCTGTCCCTGCCACATTTTAATTTTATCCCTAGTTGGGCTGTGAAGCGAGAAGTAAATCCAAAGAGAGTGGGGAGGCAGAAGGAATAGTCTAAGAATGAGTTTGTAGAAGATCATTAATGGCCATGGTAGAGATTAAGATCATTTACGTCCTTTTTACCAATGTTTCAATGCAGATTTTACCTTTGTTTTTCCTGTGAATGTATGTAATCTCAGCAAACTCTGGATTAAATAGCTTGATAACATGAGATAAGTATGCTTCATGAAGCAGCTGAGCCTATCCCCATTAGTACTTTGTTGATCTGAAGAATCCTCTCAATCCTGTTAACTAAATTTTGAAATGGGATTTTAGGTATGGAGACAAACATGGTATTATTTCTCCATTTAGGGGAATTTGGATCAGTCATGGAAGGGAGTCTCAGTAATCCTGATGGAAGCACTCAGAAAGTTGCTGTGAAAACAATGAAATGTAAGTATTGTCTGGTCTCTACAGATCTAAATTAATTTTTGTTTAAGAAATATTCAGGAATATTTAAAAACATAGATAATCAAACAATGTTGTAGAACTCCTCCAAAAAGAGAAAATCCTTTCCAATTAAGAATCCAGAAAATTATGAAGAGACAGAAGGTTGTCTATTACTCAGTGATCTATTGTTAAAAGGTATATACTACTTTTCATTTTATCAAGTACAGTATATCAGAATAATTTAAAAAATAATCACATATCTTCTAGCAGTGCTTATTAAAAAGCTAATCTCTGTTTTGAGGATTTTTCTCTCTGATACTACCTAAGGAAAACAATCAGATTATAAAATAATCTCATATTCCATCTTGCATTCAATTCTATAATCTTGTTAGTTTCTAAAGTAGAAGTTTATGTTTGAGAATGTAGGTCTTATCACAATTTAATTGTGAAAGTTGTGGTGTTTGCACATAATTTCAGTGAAAATTAGAAACTTGCCTTGAAACATTCAAAGAGCCTGCTTCCAGTTATGCAATCGAAGCAACAACTTTCATTTAGTTATGCTGCATTCCTTTGTTCTGACATTTGACTACAATCATGAGGAACAATGCTAGTCTTAATTTTCACCACAATAACCTACTCATACATCTGATCACAAGGGATAATGTTCTGTTAACAGATGCTTAGAATAAGCTAAAGTTTCCTTTGAACATGCAAAAAATTGTGCTGTATTTAAAATATTAATTTCTTACTAAACCTTTTTATTTATTCTATTATATTTCAGTGGACAGCTTTTCCCAACGAGAGATTGAAGAATTCCTCAGAGAAGCAGCTTGTATGAAAGACTTTGATCACCCAAATGTCATCAAACTTCTTGGTGAGTCAGCTAGGAAACAGTGCTTCTTGGGTAAAAATATTTTATTCACAGCCCAATAGAAAATTATTATAAATGCCTAAATCCATGTTAAGCACTTTTTCTACTTATCGATTACATACAGAAAAAAATGTAAGCACAAGATAACTTGCATGCATCAGGAGATAATTGTACATTTCAGAAACTTCCAGAGGATGTTCATATTAGCAATTCATTGCTAAATTTGTTATTTGAACTATCACTGACAATATCTTTATCCATATTTGGACAATAGTAGATTAGTAATGCATCTGTATGAAATTTCAGCAAGATGTTGTACTACGAAGATTGCTAAATTACTAAAATTATAATCCAGTTTATTTGGAACACACTAAATTGGAAAAGATTAATTTACTGAATTAGTCACCACAGTGATTTATGGCCTAGAAAATTAGATACAAACAATTGATCTTCTTTGATTCTAACTGTGATAATTAAACAGAACTACCTCAGTCAAAAACAACATATCATTAAATATGTTTGCTAAGTAAGTAATATTAGAGGGGGATTGCTTGATATCTAAATCATAAACCCTATCTTCTACAAGAAGTAACCAAATAAATCAGGTGGTGTTTAATTTGTTTTTGTATGGCTGTTTTGTTTTTCCCCTTGCAACTGGAACATTACTGTGTGCATTTTGTTGTCTTTATTGTGAGATCTTGAACCAATTCTCTGTTTATACTTTCTGGTCTGCTTTAATGATCGAAACAAATGAATTTGAAACTGGATTATCTTATAAAAGACAATTTTAAATGGTTGCTCCTTTATTTTAAAAAAAAAATTCTTATTCTACTTGATGTTATTATGTCAGAGACCTATATGGCTTCACTGTGACGATGTTTAGAGAGTTGTTGAAAACTTGGTTGTTCTTCCAAGCCTTGGGGCAAAGGTTGAGCCCTTATAGGGTGCTTTTTTGTTATTTAGTGTTTGTCTTCTGGATGCTTATATTTTATTTCTTTTTATTGTTCATTGCTTTTAAAAGTGTAACTCACCCAGAATCATCTGGAATCAGGTGGCTCCTAAATCGCAATAAAAAAATAGTTGAGAGATGTGCAACTTTAAAAAGTAAACCTTTTTTAGCTTTACAAGTAAAGATAAAACTAGGTAATAGGCAAAAAAACTGAATTCATTTTCTTGATTATTTATTCATTTTCTTTATCCTTTTCAGGTGTATGCATAGAACCCAGTTCTCAGCAGATTCCAAAGCCCATGGTGATTCTTCCATTTATGAAATATGGAGATTTGCATAGCTTTCTTCTTCGGTTAAGGATTGGAGTGGGTTCCCAGGTAAGCAACAAGATTGTAAAACCACCTTGGCACATGATGTCACATAATGGTCTTTTGATCATCAGTTATAAAATGCCTGTTTATTAAACAAACCTCACCAGCTTATTTTACATTCTCTCTAGCCTCCTATAATGTTTTCTATTATGTCAGCTTGCTTTTGATATTTTTTGCTGGGCATTAAAATATACTTTCAAAAAAAATAATGGGTTATATATCCACATCCTTCAATGTGAAGCTTAGAGTCATCTTGGAATTAAGGATGTTGCTGAGAGTTTTGTTTTACTTTTTAATAAAAAAATTAAAAGAATATTTAAAGTCAAACAAATGGGATAGAAAGCCTGACAGGCACCAAAGGATGCTAATGTGTTGCAAAGCACTTTGGCATTTAAATGTACCAAACTGGTGACCCAATATTTATTGTATTTCAACCAATACAGTTAGATTATGTCTGGTTCAAGCATTCTGGCCCCAGAGCCTCCCCAGGACTTCCCTCCGATTAATTCTCAGCACCTCCCTGTGCCTGCTCATGAGGAGGGGGTCTGGATCCAACACCTCTCCTCAATTTTCTATACCCGCCTTCCCACCATATTGTAGGACCCCACTTATCTAACCAGGCCAATCCCAGTATGATGGACTTGGTCATCTTTGCCATTACGATGAACTAAATGACTTCCCAATGCTCCCCCACATCTAGCCATACTGGCTGTGTGACGTGGGGTGTCTGGGCCCCAACAATGAGCCGTCAACCTGCTCTAATCGAACGGGCTTGGCCATCTCCCCTACCCAGAGTCCTAAGGCAGCAGCTACCACTTGACTAACCAGCACACCCTGAGTCCCACACCATCCCGAGCAGGGCCCCACTATTGTTACGGGAATGATAAATGGACTTATGGGCTGGCTTACCGTAAGCTGGCCACTCGGTTGCAGTTGGTTGCACCGGAAACAGTGTAACAATGGGCGAGCAGGACTAGTTGTGGGTGCTTTGCTCCAGGGGCTGGAGGGACCAGCTGGAAGCCACCAGACGGTCTGTCTGGAGCCCTATGGGGGCCAGGGCGCACATCACCCTTAGGCCAGAACTCCCATAGTCCTGCATCCAGGTCAATGACCGTCTGGAACCACTCCTGAAGTCTGTGTGAGATGCCCCTGTACACACAGGCCTGGCGTAGATCACAGTCTAAACCCACCCTAAACTGATGGACCAGCAGCCTCTCCAGCCAGGCCCATAGCCTACCGGCAACCCAGCAGAACTCCCAAACATATTCCAACGCCAAATGGCCCCTCTACTTTAATGATAGGAGCTCTCCTTCTGCCCGTTGCGCATGGGACCTGTCCTCAAAGCGTACCTGTAGTACCTTCAGAAAGAAGCCTGCATCTGCCAACTCCCGGGCATGCTCGCTCTGCAAATCTGCCACCCACTCAGCCGCTCCACTTCCAACACCACAGTGACTGCCACTACCATTGTCCATTGTGATGGGTAGAATCGGGCATATTGGTCCAGGTGGCTAATGGCCTGGCTCAGAAACAAGGCCAACCGGTTGGGATTTCTGTTAAACGATGCCTGTAATGGTCGTGGGGCCCACAGCACCTGCTGGGGCCAGAACCCCATGGCCATGTGAGGCCCTGCAGGAACTGGTCTGCCTGGCTAGGCCCTGGAGCCCCAGCATCCATGCCCCTCCGAGCCTCCTGGGAGGCCCCAGAATCTGGCCTCTGGAGGGGGAGGGGTTGGTAACCTCGGGCCAGGGCCTCCAGTCACAGACGAACTGTGCCACCCCTCCCCTAGGGACCCCAGCTCCTGAACCGCCTCCAGTTGAACCTCTGCCAGCTTGGCCACCTGATGGACCTCACGCTCCTTTGGCCTCACTACCACCAATGCATTGTCCTCCATGGCTTCTTGCATGGGCATCTACTCCTCCAAGGCAGCCTCTGCCATGTTTCCCACATCCACCCCGAGCACCGTCCCTTCCGCCATTGCCTTGCTACTCTCCTACCTTGGCCAGTTGACCGGAGAGGATGGAAAAGAAAAGCGAGCACTGACTTTCTTTCAAAGATCCAAGCTGGACCAATAGCAGTTAGACTTATATACCGCTTCATAGGGCTTTCAGCCCTCTCTAAGTGGTTTACAGAGTCAGCATATTGCCCCCAACAACAATCCGGGTCCTCATTTTACCCACCTCGGAAGGATGGAAGGCTGAGTCAACCCTGAGCCGGTGAGATTTGAACAGCCGAACTGCAGAACTGCATTCAGCTGAAGTAGCCTGCAGTGCTGCATTTAACCACTGCGCCACCTCGGCTCTAATTGACCAAATTGAAGCAAGCACGCTCAGGAACAATCAGGTTTAATCAGTCCAGAGCCTCGGTACGCAACGAGTCTGATGCTTGAGCAAAGTTTGTTGTAAAATCAGTGCTGGGATCTTCCACCTCCCAGCACACTTTAATGGCATAGGTCCATGCCCTCCAGCTGGCCGGACATGTCTAGCCTGGCAGCTACCATCCAGCAAACTTTCCAGGCCCCAGAAATGCAGGGTGGTAGTGGCGCAAGGCACCTGAGGTGCAGCATCTGGATCCCTCTTTGGCAGCTCCCCCAATCCTCAGCTCGATCATCTGGCAGGTGGGTGGGCAGTGGCCTCCTAGCTGGATGACAAACAGGCAGCATAGTAATGCCAGAAGCAGCTAACGGCTTATCAGTGTGGCTGAAAGTAGCTGCCGCTGCCGAAGCCTCACCTGCTGCTTGCCACGCCAATCACGCTGTTCCCACAGCTCAGCCGTCCCACAGCTACTAGCACCACCCCAAGTATGGTGAACCCCAGGCTGAGGTTCGACATCTTCACAAAGAATACCTGGAGGGGAGTAACTCAAGAAGAAGCAGTGGGGAGTTAGTATTTTCCAGGAACAATTATTTGCTTTGGCTTACACTTCTGTGGCATTGACTCATGCCTGTTGCTGTTTGCCTTGCCTCGCTGAGAAGAGTGCACTTCACTTTTTTGGGGGGACCCGCCCTTCTCTTGTGGCCTACATTTGACCTTTGCTTCACTGTGTTATTGGAACTGCTTCTTGTCTGGGACTTGTTTCTTGTCCTGAGGACTGCCCTTGTTTTGTGTCTGGACTCTGCCTTGTGGATTGGATTTGGAACGCTAGACCTTGCCCGGTGAGCATGGGCGTACTCTGTGGACTTTATTTGTTACACCGGGACTGTGTTTGGCAGACTAAGGGTGACTGCCTTCAGAGTAGTGTGGGGGTGGAGCCTTACTGCTTGTTGGAGGGCCATTGGCTGGAACATTTGTTAAGAGAAATAAAAAACTCTCTAGAGGTCTGTCTTGCCTTGGCCACCTGGGTCATAACAAAAATGTCATATCAATTAAAAACCAGGATCCATGAACACTGGCTGCCAGTCAAACGCCATGATCCCTAATCCTTAACTCAATCCAGACTGACACCAACAGCACCAGTTCAATTGGAGCAACACAAAAATAATTGGCCATGCTACTACCCGCCACGCTTTTGAGTTCATCGAAGCCTGGCACTCCACAAACAATTCTATCAGCAGACATATTGATCTACAACCAGCCTACGACCACCTCAAAATCCAAATCAGCCAAGCAGAGACAGCACCAACCCCCAAAAGCCCCTCCCCCAACAAGCACTTCACCTGCCAATGACCCTCACCTGACATAACCTCCCATTCACAAGACCCACTACAAGACTCTCAATTGACATACCCAAACCTGAGCCATCACAAGACCCATCCCAAGACCTTGACTTGATGGGACCCTGACCCAATGTGACTTCACCATCACAATACCTACTGACCACACAAAGGCCTTATAAACGGAGGAACACTGACACGGACATTCCTTAAACGCCGCTGAAGATGTTCCCTAGCCTGGTAAAATGTTCGGGAACCAATCCACAAGCATGGAGAATGAACCTTCATCCTCAAAATTGTAGCTATTAGATGAAGCTAATATAATTGTGAGCCACTAAGTTCCCTATGGCTTCATTTTAATCACAATGTTGGATCAAAATGCATGCTTAGATTGTAAAGTTAATTCATTATGCCTCGGTAGACAACTTGGTTCTTTCCAGATATTTTCAGAAGAATCGTTCTAGAGTTACTGCTAGAGTTGATGGGAGTCTGAAAGATACCATATTATATAGTTCCAATTTAGCAGGAATGGAAACCTAGAACAGAGCATAATTAGTCCATTATGATTGTTTGGTTCTGGTTCAAAATAGTCATAACCTCATGTATCATATATTGCCTTGAGCTTTCCAGCTACAAATCTCCATCATCTTGGCTAGGAAGTGAGTGTTAGCCTCTAGATATAGTTATGATTTAAATATTTTTGCCTGGCATTTTGAACACGAGGTTGCCTTGTTTCAAGCAAAAGGCACTGTTGTTTTCCTGATCTTTGGGTTGTGTTTACTGGAATCATGCTGCACATGCCGCAGTCCTCTTGCCAGAAAGGAACTTGGCATTTCCCCCCACAAAGCCTGACAGTATCGTCATCCACTTTGGAACTCTATGCCAGTTTTCATTTCCTGTAATTGAAAAGCCTATGGTAATTTCTACTGTCATGCATGGAGTAGATGTTGTTCTTGCACCAGAGAGAATACACAAAGATTTTAATTGTTATACTTTATGACAAAAGCAATTGCCTCATTTTAACCCAAACAAAGATATTGTAAAACAGGACCACACATTATAAAGCTTCAGCATGTGAGCCTGCCTAAATAGCAGATTAATAGAAAATAATGTTTTCATACATAATTGGGGTTTCCTCAAAGAGAGGCTTTTTTATGAGCTGCTGTGTAGGAGTGAAAACTGGACAATATTCCTCCAACTTTGTCATCCATTACATCTTTCAAAAGAGCAGCATTTATGAACGGATTGAAAAAATTTATTTTTTATTCATACAAGAAAAGTTAGAACTGCTCTAAATATATTTTACTTAATCAAAATGCATATACTAATTTTTCCCCTAAAGCAGTGATGGGCAGTCTTTTCCTTGGTATATGGCAGTGGCAAAGACAATTCTTCAGAAAAGCTTAGGCCTGAATTTTCTGCCTTTTAACATTTTTTCTAAAAAAATAGGAGCATTATTTCTAAGTGAAGATTTCCTTAAGACAATTTTGACTACTTGTAACTATAAGGCATGTGTAATTTTGGTAAAAAAAATATAATTTCCCATTTCCTTCTAAGATTTTTCTTTAATGTTCTGATAGATTCCTGTCCAAAGTACTAAAATAATCTGATCCTGCTTAAAATTTTAAAGATCACACAATGTCAGATACATCCTGCTATCTGTTCTGACAATACATCCAGATTTGCTTGTTTAAGAAGTTTTAAAAAATGATATGGCCATAATCCATTGGGTTAATGCTAAAGTTTCACAAGGTAATTTTGGAGGGAAGGCAAGAGTTACAAAATTCGGAATTGAATCTTTTTCCTAGCATAAATAAGAACCTTCACTTTAAAAAGAAATATTACTTATCTTAAGCATAGTAAGGAAGGTTATCTGGAGCTTGCTAGTAATATTTCTTCCAAAGTGGATCACCCTTGTGACATAAAATTTTTCTGTCTTCTTTCACTAATGAGAAAACACAAACTTTGATAAATTATTTTTGTTGTATCAGTTAGACTGATTGAGTTTCATTGAGTTTTTCTTTAAATTTAGTTTCTATATGCCATCTTGAGTTAAATAGCATCACCTAGCTGGGCATTTGTATAGGTAGAACCTGACTTTCTCTCTCCCCTTCTCCCTCTCCCTCATATTAATACATCAATTGATGTAGCAACCCAATTAAAAACTACAAATCTGGGCTTTGCATATAGGATTAAAAGCAAACAAGAACAATGAAATAATAACTCAAATCTTAAAAAGCATAGTATCTTATTGACAAGTTCATCAAACCTCCAAACCCAATAACCAAAGGAACATCGAGATCTTCAGGAATTTACCCAATGCTAGCAGGACCAGTTAAGTGTTTTCACTCGGAAGCCATCAAAGCTATCATAGGCCAGACTGGGAAGTGGTGGTGCGGTGAGAAACTACTTTTGAATTCTTGCCAAGAAAAATGTACAGATATTTCCTTGTAGTCACCATGCAATGAGAGCAAAGAAGACTTTAGCTACTTTTCCTACCATCTTAACTATCTTAGTCATAGTGCAATCAGTCAATGAATTATTGTAATCACAACATATTTACGTATTAAATCACTTTGATATTCCTTTTGGTATTTTAGTCTAATCTTTCTCAATCTATCCGAAAGGGTTATGCATTTATTAATGCCATTGGTTCAGAAGTATGTGTATTCCAAGTTAAAATAAAATGAATACGCTGCCTCTCGTAGTAGTATATTAAATAAGTTATCTTTGTATTCTAACCAACCCTATTTTATTTGTCTTAAATCATAAATGTATTAGACTTAATATATCATTTGTTTTTTAGTATGATGATTGATCAGTATCACATATTAAGAAAAATGTGCATCTTGTTCTTTTCCCAGTATGTTCCACTGCAAATTTTATTGAAGTTTATGATCCATATTGCTCTAGGAATGGAATACCTCAGTAGCAAACATTTCCTCCACAGGGACCTGGCTGCCCGAAATTGCATGTGAGTTCTGTAGTGTTTTCTTTTCTGCTCAGAATTCAGATTGATTTTCAGTCAGAAACTGTAAATCTTAAAGTGGAAAACAATATTTGGGGATCAAAATCTAGGAAATATAACTCTAATCAGAAATCAAGGGAAAGTATTTTTCAGATTATTCGCTGCATTCTGTTTGAAAATTTAATATAGAATAACTACACAATGTAATTCTGTTGAGATTCTTATACTTCAACTCCATCTCTGAGTGTACTTTATTCATGATAGAGGAATTCCTTATAAAACTACAGCATGAGGCAAAAAAAACAACAACTTTGGAGCCTAGCTTTCTCTATGGCATGTTAGCTGTAAACTGGACTAGATGCACAGTTACAGTTCTAAGCATTTGTTTCCGTGAAACATATAGAAACTGTATTCCAGGGATTCTGATGTAATGAAGGGAGGGGTGCTTTAATCTTAGTGTACCATTTTCCCAACCGTTTTTCTCTGAATCTTGGGAAATAAATATTAATGTATATAACCTCTTGAAAATAACTAGAGAAGAGACTGAAGGGAAAGAATCAAAGACACACACAAGATGCCACTTATACATGGAAGGTACAGCAGTAATATTTGTGGAAAGGATTTCAGGTTTGCTATTCAGTCACCTTGACTCTACCCTGATAAAAGGGATTACAGGATCATAAAAAGAAAAAAAAATGATTTCAAACTAGACATAAGCTAGCAGAGAAGGCATAAAACTATAGTTTCCATATCAACAGAGACATTAGTTCTGCTTTACATTTAAAAGTATGAGTTATTCTGTGACCCATTCAAGTATTTCACCTTATGAAGGAAATAATTTGGAATAAATTCAGAGAAAGACAGCAAATATGAAGATATAAAAAACAAGGCCTCTGAATTTGGCCTGAAATGAATAGTAGATAAAAGACTAGAGATTATGGTAGCGACCTTCAGATACTTGAGAAAGACACAGAAGAAACTGAAAGGTAGTTTTCTTACCCAGAAGGGCATTTTAAGTTACAGAAAGAGACATAACATTTTAAGTTACAGAAGGAGACATAACATATAACTGTTAAAACAAAGATATTGACAATTATTTAGAATACTGGTGAACTCTCTAGATGAGAGTTCACCAGTATTCTAAATAATTGTCAATATCTTGTCAAAACCGCTAGATGAGGTTTTCAAATAGCAGTTAGATAACATTTTCCAATACAGCAGAATCCTGTACTCTTAGTTCCATACACTGTGCAAGGGAATGGATCAATTGACTACAAGGTTACTACTAGCTCTGTGATTGTATAAAGCAATAGTAGAGAGGGCGAAGGCCATTTAAGCCTCCTTTCCCCCATGCTGCTGCTGTCCTTCCTGCCATAACTGTAGGGCTCTGGAAACTGAAACAAAGATCATTAGAAGCCAATGGATTAAACTGTTCTGATTTAGGCTTTCCCATTTTCTCTGTTGTGTATTCCACAGTCTATGCTTTTTCTCATAATAACCCTCCGTGAAAAATGGAGGGCAACAGTGACAAATATAAGAGTGAGCAAGGACTGAACAGCATGCTACATGCAGTTTTGTAAAAACCGCACCATTTGCTTCTTTAATTTGAGGAACTCTCCATACTTGCAAATAGTAGATGGTAAAGTAAACCACAATTCTGAAAACTGCTATTTTTATCAGGAGGAGGAGAAAAGTTAAATTTATCCTACTATATGCCCATTCTTTATTGCATTATCTCCATATTTTATAACATGCATATCAAAATCAGAAACAAGTATAAAAAGGATGGAAAACCACTCTCTGAGATTCCCTGATAATTACAGGTATAAGGGCAACTAGATAATTGTACATTCTGCTTATCTCAGTCCCTTCTCCTTTTGTTATTATCTTTCAATGATAAACTAGGATGTAGGGGACACTGGAAGAATTTTTGTTTTTTTATTGATCTTAAGCTACTCTAGAAGCTCTTTACCTGAAGAACAAGGGGAAAATGCTTCAAAGTTGTAATACATTCCGTATCATCCTTAGTCTGATTCTTAATGTGTGTCAGAATCAGAAACAGCTTTAATTTAGATTTTTTTTTGGGGGGGGGAGGGCTGGAATCTTGATTGATTATGAGCCATCAAGTCAATATTGACTCTTAGCAGCCACTTAGATAGTTCTCCTCCAGAGAGAGACTATGTAGGAAACTCATTTTGATTCATATCATCTCTTTCCCAAAGTATACAGACATATGAAGTAATGCTACATCTTTGAGTAGCCTCTTTCGTGTAATATGAATTCATATTAACTGGCATACATTAATGTACAGGTTGCGGGATGACATGACGGTGTGTGTAGCAGACTTTGGTTTATCCAAGAAAATTTATAGTGGAGATTATTACCGTCAAGGGCGTATTGCAAAGATGCCTGTTAAATGGATTGCTATAGAAAGTCTTGCAGATCGCGTCTACACAACAAAAAGTGATGTGGTGAGTAAATGAGGAGATGGTGTTCCAATTTAATAGTTAAGTCTGGCTCTAGGAGGAAAAATTTGTCAATTTGGATTGACAGAATTCTTATTATAATATAGGAAAAGGACTATATAATTGTGCCCCTGTTTTTTTTTTCACAGCGGTATTTATACAGAGTAAACTGGTTTGAGAAAAAAAGGCTTATTTTTGTGATATTTATTTTGGACCTATTCATTTTAATAACATAAATTATTCAAAAACTTTCTGCAGACAACTAGGCCCTAATATACATCACTTTCTTCAGATTTTACAAAATATTATTTGTTGCTCTGTATCTTCCTTCAGTTTTCTAACAAAGATTAGTTATTAGTTATCTAACATTATGTTAAAGAAAAAAAGCTCAAACTAGTTTACATTTGAATAATTAATACCTTTAAATGCCTTTTAATGCCTTTAAAAAAAGGTGCGATGAAGCATAGTGATAAAAGTAATTGTTTGATAATACAGTATCAATGTATCAAGCTGCTAATACAAGACATAATTAAAGTACAGAAAGAAATTACAGTACAAAAAATTGAGGATCCTATTCCTAACCTTATTAGTCAACTAAAGCTAGGGATGCAGCTCCCTCTAGTGAGTGAGAGAATATTTATCAATGTGTCAGACAAGTTCTAGAGCCATTAATTGTCCTTTTCTGTGATTATTTTGTAGGTGCAAGTTACCAGCAAAGTTAGGTTAAAGAACAAGCCTGCCACATACAAAATTATTCCTATTGACTCCTTTAAAAGGTGGTAAACATAGTCTAGATATCTGTGAGAAGAAATTAAATGCAATTCAAAAAAAAAAAGATTGACTCTACTTTCTTTAAAAAAGTACAGCCAGTTCCAACTAGCAGTGGTTCTCTATTTCCAAGCATCATTAACTGAAAAACTTTCAGTCTCATATGCCAGAAATTAAATTGGCATGTTTCTGCATATTAACATTGATACAATAGTATTAAAGTACACTTTTCGTCAAAGAATTATTAGTTAAAATTACAATCCTAAAACATTAGAACTGGAAATTAAATATCTTGGTCAGTTTCAATATTTACTATTCACTCTTCTTATGTAACAAAAAAATGTAATTTGCAATGAGATGACGTTACTAGGAATTCAATATCACCAATATGATTTTCAATAATGCACCAGAAAAGGTAACATAGTTCATTTTAATGAACAAAAACAATCTCAATATGTTTAGTGGGACTTATTCCCCAAAAAGTGTCTATAGTCAATTATGAGTATCATTAAATTAAGTACTTTTAAAATGCTATTCAAGTGAGTTTTTCTTCCATTTTCTTTTCCTGTAGTGGGCATTTGGTGTTACAATGTGGGAGATAGCAACTCGAGGGATGACTCCATATCCAGGAGTGCAGAACCATGAAATCTATGATTACCTACTTCATGGGCATAGATTAAAGCAACCAGAGGGCTGTTTAGATGATTTGTAAGTATTTTGCAATTGTGATAATAATGAAGCATAATTGTAGCGCTTGAATATGTGGCTTGCTTATGGCAGTTGTTATATTTACAACTTGGAAATCTGGAAATCAAGAGGTGGTTTTCCTTTGCTATAATAGGCTATTTTCCCTTTTAGCTTTTTAGACTATAAACAATTGCTCTATGATAAAATAAAACAACTAAAAATCTCTAACTGCAACCACTGTGTTAAAGGAGGGGCTGTCCTGGGTTTGAGAAGCTGGTCTCCTTGCAAGATTCCTGACTAGACTCTTTTATTTGCAACTCACTTTAAACAAACCTGGTGTTGCATCTCCACCTAGTTCAGGGCACTAACAGTAAAAATCCACAGCAAAAACAAATAGGTGAAGATCTAAAAGCATAAAATATGGTTGAAGACAAATCAAAATCCTTCATAGCTTGGTATAAAAGAGTTGCCTATGGTGTGATGCAGAGGTGGGTTGCTCACGGTTCGGCTCGGATCAGGTGAACCGGTAGTGGTGGCGGGAGGCTCCTCCCACCCACCTGGACACTTATGTGCATGCGCAGAAGCATTGTGTGCAAGTGCGCAAGCACACATGAGCAAATCGGTAGTAAAAAAAATGGAAACCTACCACTGGTATGATGGGTGGTAAATAAATTTAACAAAAAAATAAAAATAAATTGCTAAGATAATATATGTTCTCAGGCCAGCCTTTCTAGAGACAGTATTCAACAAATGGGATGTCAAACTCTTCCTCCCACAGTTGCTTGCTTCATCTCATCCAGCAATGATGATTTTTGGCTGTAAGATTAACAGGCTGATATGGGAAGAGATGCCCCAAATCATTTGAATATCAGCTTTCAATTGGGCCTAAAAACAGACAGCTTTTGTAGATAATAAAGCAGTTGTTGTGCTCAGCCCATATGGGTTTCTAGTTGCTGTATTTTGGGTTACATTTTACAAATTGTTTTTAAAGGCAGTCTTGCATATAACTCATTGCGATATGCTGAACTGATTTAATATTTCTAAAATTAGGCAAAGAAGCTATGATTCAAAGTAATTCAGGTTTGTCACTATTGATATGTTCACTTTGAAATGGATTAAAACAAAATTATGTTATCCATTCAATTGTAATACATTACTCCCAAAGTTAGCTTAGTTGTCCTCAAAGGATTAACTTTGTCGCCTTTCTATTTTTAACATTACCGGGTACCTTAACACAGAATCAACCATCTTTTTATAGGATATTCACAAATGAGTGTCTGCCATTTAATATTACATGTGTTAACAGTGGCCAGAATTGTATTTGCACAACATTGGAAAAGTATGGAGATCCCCACAGATGAGAAGATAGTGTAAAAACAACAACCTAGAATGTACAGAAATGGATAGATTAACCCTTGAAATTAAAGAGAAGGAAGATACGGAATATTTTGAAACATGGGATTTGTTTTATCTATGGTTAAACAACTGAAACAGAACTTAGAATATTTAAAATGATTAGCGAAAGATTAATTTTACCATGAGGGATTATTATGATATATTTATTATCTATATGATTTAGTATTAACAATTAAGTATTAATATTATATGGAAAAATACTATTATTATATGATCACTACTAATGAACATTATTATGATGAGGACTATTGGTTAAACTAACTGTAACCAGACATCACACTGTTTATACAGACATCAAAATTGTTGCTCTTTCTTATATAGTAAAATATATATATTAAACAAAAAAACAACAACAAATGAATGTCTGCCTTTCTCTTCCTTCAATAATTATCCAGCTTCCTTCTTCATGGCATTTTCTCATCATTTCAGGTATGAAATCATGTATTCCTGTTGGAGGACAGATCCTGTGGACCGACCGACCTTCTCAGAACTTCAGCTTCACCTGGAGAAAATATTGGAAAGCTTACCTGCTCTAAGTGAACCAAGCAGTGTAATTTATATTAACACAAACTTGCAGGAAGAGGATGCAAAAGAGCTAATGGAAGATGACGAGTTTCCCCAAATAGACACAGTCCTTGATCCAAATGAAATCATACAAGCTTGTTCCCAGAGATCGGAGCCTACAGTAGTCACTGTGGATATCCATGAAAGCAGTGGAATGGGGGATAGGTACATTTTAAGTGGAGTCAATGAAGAGCACCGGGCCAGTCTGATAAGAACAGAGGAGGAAGATGTGTCATTGCTTCAGTCCATTTACACACAGAATGGGAGGCAATGGTCTCAAGCCAGCACACTCCCTGTAGGAAGTTCATTGGCTGATGAACTGCTCTTTGCAGATGATTCTTTGGAGGAGTCTGAAATTCTGCTGTGAAGAAAAACTAGCACTCTCTAATGAACTGCAAATCAGAGACCCTTCTGAGCTAGAAGTGCTCTGGATAGCCATTGGACAGTCTCATCATGGAAAGCCATTCCTATGTAGCATGCTCTCCAATCTTTGTATAGCAGATAACTTTAGAAGAAACATTTTTATCTTTATAGAAATTATATTTTAATAAACAAATGTGGTAATGGTCTGTTTATTTATTTTGAATACAACTTTAATATTTTTGGTCTCATTCCTGTGACAGGTTCTTTCATGGATGGTGTGTCAGTAGATTATCTTCTGACTCCTTCACAACTTCTATGTTACAGGAGATGTTGACAGATATGAACACATACATAAACACATGCACACAATTTCTGACCACTTGTTTTCATTGAAAAATATGCTGATTCTCTTTTTGTCAGCATCTTACACAATACATACAACACACACACACACACACAATTTTCTCCTGAAAACTTCTCCCAGAACTGCCAAGTCTTCCCTCTGTTGCATCCCCATAGCAAAGAAGGCTTAGATGTCATTTGAGAAAAAGAAGCTTCCTGACTGACGGCAGGGTGCAGAGATTGGGAGAACAGTTCGGAGGGAGGATTAAATCTGCTCTATTTGTGCTGCCATCTACTTCTGAATATGTTACACAATGCAAGTTTTTAAAAAAGTGTGGTATTTAGTTTGACCCTCTTGGAAAAGGCAAGGCACATATTTTATTACTGAGCTCACATCATATTTTGTTTTAGATGTTTTTCCCCCAAAAAATCTGGTCTACTCTTCTAGTAGAAAATTCAATATTTTGCTCCATCCTGGAATGGAACTATTCCTAACACCAAGAATAGAGCAACACTTTTTATCTTCTCAGTTAAAATTAAACTAAAAATTGTAAATGTTAAAATAAAGCCATCTGAGATGCTCTATCACCTTTCCGACAGCTTTCCTGTGAAAGTTGGTGTTCCTCAAGGAACGACATTATCACCATTGCTGTTCATTCTCATCATGAATACTATCACAAAAGAACCACAACATGCCATCCCCTGGACCTTGCAATATGTGCAGACATGGAACAACCACCGTACCCAATTTGGCTGTGCCTCAACATGAAGATGACTCACTAGAGAGCAGCCCGAGCACTTCCACCATACAAGTCAGCAGTGAAGATCTAGTGAAGACCAACACCATCAATTACTTAGGATGCCATCTACAAAGTGATAGCAGCATCAATGACAAACTGCATGCAAGAGTGAAAAAAAGCATGGCTACATTGGAAGGAGATCCCTGGAGTGCTCTATGATTGAAGCATGCCAATCAAATAATGGTATGCTCAGTAGATTTATATGGTGTTAGCCAATCACCAAATGCATTGAGTGCTCTGGATACATCATGGAGATGCACATGGCTTACTGGTCACTAGGTATTTCTCCATGTCAGCAATGTCCACAGTATGGCAGCACATAGGCATTGCACTAATATCTGAGAAAATGTGGAAGAAAGACCTACATGTCCTACAAGCAACACCTCACACAGTTGCCTTCATCACCTTCCACTTTAATACAGGTGGCAAGTGCCCGTGTGGAAGTCCAAAGCAAAGACAGCAAGGCACAATAAGTACAGGCATGAAAATCGGGTGAAAATTGGATCCAGATGCTACATTTCATTGTGCAAGATGGCATTGGTTGAATCCAAAAAGTGGACCCTGCACCTGAGGAAATAACACTAGGAAGATGATAATAAGTGAAATACACCAACCATTTTCAACTAGGCACTTTAATCTAGCTGAGTAGACATGACACAAGAGTTAATTGAACAACTCTGGATTACAATTCCTATCACCATTTGGGGGAAATGGTGCAAGAAATTGTTGTGTCACATTGAAATCAGCAAATATTTAAGTAGCTTTATATAAGGGCTTTTTGAGAAATGCCTGGTTTAGTCCCTGCAGTTTTCTTGACCAGATTTTTCAGAAGTGGTTTGGGCCTGAGAGAGAAATGGACTAGAATTCAGTTACCCAGTTTCTTGCCTGATGCTTTAATCACTAAAGCAAGCTGGCTTTCTTGATCTAGGTTGTGAGGCAGTCAAGAATATTTCTGCAAAGTTTAAAAAGATGGTCTGTAGCTTTAAACATTAAAAGGGAAATACAATTGATAAACCAGGAAAATGACCTGGTGAATGTTTCTTTATTGATTTACAATAGTCTTGCAGAAATCTGTGATGAGATAAAGAAGAGAAATTGTATCCTTCAATATATTTGATTGAATTACAATGCAAGATTGTTGGAAGGAATGCAATTTTTTAAATCAGGGCTAAAGTGAGATATTTTTTGTTTTTGTTTTGCAAAAAAAAAAAAAACCACACCTTTTTGAACTTTCAGCTAACACCAGAATTTTATGTATTTGTTTATAAGTAATAGATGGAATATGGTACCAAGAGAATTTATAGAGGGTCTGGTAAATTTAAATAACAGAAGACTATTGTTACTAGAATCACATGACTTGCAATTATGCTGGCATGCCTTCCTCTGGTATGGCAGAAATATGGTGCACAATTATTTCCGAAGACATAATGTGGGGAGTGTGTTGCTTAACATTTGGGAAAAAATTAAACTATAACATAGGGAAGTACCAGTTTGGCTCTCTCCAATGGTGGCAATAATATATCCAAATCTTATAAATTGGGGAAAATTGTATGTTACAAGGATATTTTAGATGAAAGGGGTGATTTTAAATCCAGACAACAATTGCAGAGTCAAGGGATGGGCATATTTTCAGATCCAATCAAGGCATGAAAAAGATGTTAAATTATGGGGTGTAAATAAAGAACAAACAGCATTGGATAAAAATTTAATGGATGAAAAATCAATTAAAATATATAATTATTTACTGAACTATAAAATGGAGAAAGAGATAGTTAAAGAAACAATAATTGTCTGGGCAAAGAATTTCGGATACAATATAAAACTAGAAAAATGGTTAGAAATTTGGGAGAGAAACTAGAAGCTGCCATGACCTATAAAGAAAACCTCTACAAAATGTTTTATAGATGGCATTTGCCACCTGCAAGATTGGGCAAAATGTATAAGAGCTCCTCCGCCAAATGTTGGAAATGTAACCAGATTCCAGGAACATACTACCACATGTGGTAGATGTGTAAGGAAACAAGGAATTACTGGGAGAAAATTTGTAATTGGTTAGAAATGATAACTGAGCAACATCTTGAGTTCAAACCAAAAACATGCTTTTTAGGTATACTGTCAGAAAGTTATGACAAAGCAACTATATACTTACTGTTACATATAGTGACAGCAGCAAGAATCATATATGCTAAATATTGAAAAAATGTGAACACCCCACTGGATGATAATATAATTAGGAAAATTTGGGATTGTGCTGAAATGAATAGATTAATCTTAAAAATTAAAGATAAAGACTAAATATTATAGGATATGGAATAAATTTGATGAATGGATAGAGACAAGAAGTAGAAATGAGAGGGAAATTGACAAATGTCAATAACTGTTCGTATGTAAAATAAAGATGCTATAGAATTATGGATATAATATGGAAAAATTGTAAATAGGTTAATGTAAGTAGAAATTTAGTTAAAGCTCATTTTCTTTTTTCCCCCTTTGGTTGTATTGTTATAATTACTGTAAATATATTATTGTTATAGTTCTTAGCTTGTTAAGTACGACAAGATTTGCTATTGATTTTTCTTCGGTTTTGCTTTGTTTGTAATTGTTACCCTGACACGGCACTGTCTTTTCAATAAAGTATATTTAAAAAAGAGAATTTATAGAGATGAAGAATTCTTAAATTTGTTTATACTGAAGTGATGAAGATTGAAAATAATTTCTTAATGTAATTTTCTTTATCTTGTATTTTTTCCTGCATTTTTATTCTTTTGTTCCATTCTCTTTTTCTAATTTTAGTTTATATTACTGTAGTTTTTGCTACTGTAATTAAAAATTCTTAATAAATTAAATATATTAAAAAGTGATTAAAATATATAGTATGGGTTGGGTTTTATTTGTAAAATAAATAGGTTGTGAAATAACAGGCAGAGATACACTTTTCCCATTGTCTGCAAAGGGAAAAATGGAACACGGACTATATATCTTTACTTTCTCTTCTTACTGGGAAAAAGTAATTACGCAGTAGGTGGTGCTAGAGTTAAGGATAAATTACTACTGCTTGTATTGCATAAGAGAGTACTGTACCTAATCTGAAATTTAGAATCGGCTTTGGGGGGAATGCTATTATTAACAGAAGCAAATTATCAACACAGCAAAATGTTGCTTTGATTTTGATATTAAATTATCCCTAGGGGGTTTTTTTGGGGGGGGAGGGCGGAATAGAAAATAAATATGTTGTATGATAATCACAGGAAGAACTTTTTGAGGGTTGGGGTGGGGTATCTTTCCTAGTCTGCAAAAACATTCCACCTTGTAGAATACAGCAATAAAATGCTCAGGATTGAATATCAATCTGAACAGTTTATTATTTTATCACTGGGAAATTAGAGTCAGCATGAAGAGTTTTTTCAACTGGTTTTCAATAGTTAAGGACAACAGTAGGACAAAAGCCTACACTGTACATTGCTGCACAATAAGAGGTGGAAGGTTCAATCACATAGTTGTGGTGGCCATCTTGACTGCTTCCCACCAACCTCCTATGAACTCTCTTGGAATGTTGGTTGCCTGGTTGAGGGCATGTGGAGAAGGAAAGTGATGATTTCTGGAAATAGGTCGGTAGGTGTAATGGGCAATTGGAATAACCTTGAACAACAGGAGGAAGAGCCATAGCCAAGGCAATGGTCAGATGAAAAAAAATCTGGGGCAGAAATGTAATTTAAGTAAGTGTCTCGGTCATGACTACCTTAGTTTTCAGGAAGATACAGTAAAGGGAGAGGGACATTCAGACTTATAGGTTACAGTTACAGTAACAGAATCTTGCAATGAAGAAATATTAGCATTCATAACTCTGGCATCCTAGTCTGATCTACCTTGAAGAACTGACAAGGGGCATGAATGCCAAACAGAAGTTGTCACTTTTTTCCTTGATAGCCTGCACTGCTTCACTGTGTTTTGCACAAAGGGCAATTGTATCTTTTTTTCTTTTCTTTAGTTGTCTTCTACAGTAGTACATTCTCAGTTTCTTAGAACCAATTCCTTGCCATATGCAACTTTCCTTTTATAGTTTT